TTTTTTTTTAAGAGCCCGTGGACGTGCATCATAAAACAAACTTCCCCCTGTGAACAAAAAAAGTGAACCGTGAAATCACAGCACACAAAAACGTGCACAAGGGTGCTTGGTCCTTCACAAAGAAGGGACCTCAATTCCCGACCCCCGGGGCGCAAGGCTCCTGACAGGGGTTGAGACTGTTGGTCCACCAACCCGGAGGCTGGCGGACCCCGATCCTACGGGGACCTGCCGAAACAGGTCCCACACAGTACTAGGTAGGGGGATCTCCCAAAGAGAAACCCCCCCTGGTTTGGGAGGAGACAGAGAACCCTCTATAAGGGCACAGAATCTCCTCCCTACATCAGGAAAAGGCCCCAAAGGAACCTGTACCCGCTGCATCTGTGGGTCAAAAACGCTTTTAAAAAAAGCCAATCGTGCATTAAGTGCAATAAATAATACTAAAGTGCCAGTGCACCACGCTGACAGGCCTTAGGGGCTGGTGTGCAAAAAAATTGCCCTGGACTAGCCATAAGGCCTGTCCAAGAGGCGATGTGCAGAAATTGCAATGTCGTGTGTGACCGAGTGCATCAGTGAGTCAAAGTGGGGTCCCACACCCAAGTGACTTTCTGAGCACCCCTGGGACGCCACCCCCAGGGGGCACAACACCATGGGCTCTGCCACCTCCCAACCCTCCAGCCTCGACCAAGCTTCGTATCCATTCCCATCAGAAGGTAGTGCCGTCCGGGGTCCATCCCTACCACCGGTGACAAGTCTAGCGAACTAGACCAGAATCTAACCGGGAGGGACTGTACCCCATCTGGTACCCACCAATTAAGCCGGTAAATACTAAGCCACCATCCTAATTCCCTGAAAAGGAGTGGTGTCGTTCTTCCACCGGCAACTGATAAGAACAGATACTACACTTGATCTTAGCCAAAAGGCCGAGAAGCGATAGGTTCGGTTTCTTAGGTTTATGTTATTACTAGCAAATTGAGTCATATGCTGCTCTATATTTTGAAAATACCAGTGGTAAGAATTACAAGTCCCAACCTGCGACTGTTGCAAAGCCAAATGATGGTGTCACACTAAGGCTTGTGTAGAATAAACAAGCGATTGGCCAACAGCAGAGCCCTGGCTAATACTATACAGGGACATTGTACTGGTCTTGTTGATAAACACTTACCTGATTTGTTTATGTCAAGCTCTGATAACTTTATGGCTAGTTCACTTGTGTTCCCTCCTGCTGAGGTGAGTATATCATGCAGAGCATTTCTTCTTCCCGTTCTCCCAGAGGCTCTGAAATCTGCATATGTAGATTCCACATCAGTCATTGCTACCAAGTATCCACATAGCAGTGCCTATGCAAAAACAAAGAAACATATGTATGAAATATCTTACAATTTAGAAACACATTCATTTCTAAAGGGTAAGTCAACCCTAAATTGATTTTGAAAGTGTACCTACAGTGATCAACAAGTTACTGACCCAACTCTTTATTGCAAAGATATCTACAGTATCTTAAAACTCTTTGTTGCAAATTCCAAGTTGTGAAAGGAAGTATGGATTTTGACTTACCTTGCCCTGGCCTAACTAATGGTCAGTGAGGCAGCCTATCACACTAATGGGAGAACAGTGAGAGAGAAATGTTAAAAATAAACACATGACAAAGGATGCCCACAGAAACATAGGTTAGCTAAATCTCAATAGGATCAGCTTTCCTTAAAGGAGAATTATGGAGAGAGTGAAATACACTCATCCCCATAATTAGAGCCGATGTGTGACACTGAAGCTTTCACACATAGGCTCTATTGATCAAGAACTGAGCCATCACATACCACCGATCGCTCAGTTCCCGATCTTTTCCCTGCAGAGAGCGGTGACTGTCAATCTCCGCTCCCCGAAGGGATTCCCCCCTCCCATCTCTGTTCTTCCAGCAATGACTGGAGGGACAGACAAAGGAGGGGGCAGGCACAGCTGAGAGAAGCAGAGCCAGCTATCAATCAGGTGGCGGGGTGAATCCCAAAAATATTGGCTCTGCGCCGTCAGCATATAGCGGGCAACAGCTCATCTGGCCATTAACAAAAAATATGTTTTTGGTGTAACGATCCTTTAAAAATAAAATATAAAAATGTGCTTGAATTTATAACTGCTTGAAATGTGTATTTTAGGCTTGTAGTAAAAGGTTAATCTCTAGCCAAAACGGTTTTCTCCACTTTTGGATAGGGCAGAGAGGGTAGAGAACTTCTGAGATGTTTTCACTGATGTCTGAGCTCCCGTTAAGGAGGTTAATCTCAATTTCAATATTGGTGACCATTTTTTCTTGGACAGAAAGTGAAACGAAACGTAACATTTTACAATATGGGGTAAAGGGAAAAAATCCCTTGTGCCCAGTGACAGCTAAGGTGGGATGTGCCACTATTTGTGCAGATTCTTTTTTTATTTCCAGTTCTAGGACAGGGATGAGAAAATGTCTGATGGGAACACAGGCAGCAATACAACCCTGCTAGAGGTTCTGCCTTTTCCCAATTCTACCCAAAACTGCAAACTTTGGCTGGAGTTTTCTTTTGATTAAAAATTGCAATATGTGTGGAAACCCCAAAAGGGAGTACAGCTGCTTTCTCGGTGCAAAATAAAAAAGAACTCCACAGACAGGAAAACTGAACTGGATGAACTGTTGGTGGATATTTCAAGAACCCCTCATCTCTATATAATGGGTGTACTTAGTTTTTGATCATTTACATTTTTATTTGTATGTATGTTTATGTGCCCCAGATTTCAGAAATAGATTTTGTATGGTTAAAACGAAGACCAGTAATAGAAACCAAGTTGACAACAACTGTGTGTACCATTCTAAAAATAACGGATTAAACAGATTGCTGAGTAACAACATATTCAAAGTGATAACCTTCAGCACATTAAATGTTGTAATCAGATCTGCGCTTTTCAGCTACTTTTTCTATACCAAAATCTGTTTCCGCTCTGTAAATCGACCAAAGGCAAGAAATTAAGAGGCGCTGATTTAAAGGCAAGCTTGGAAAGTACATCTGTTTACTGTAAAGTAGAGGAAGAGTCCAGTGATTTGTAGTTTTGTAATACTATACAGTATACTATACTATACTATACAGTATATATATACACAGTTCAGTATGGCGGTAAGAATCCTGCACGTGTGTGGTAGTGGCATAGATTGGTCTACTCTGCCAGTACCACTCCCCATCACCACTTTGCCAGCTCCCCCCTAACCACTTTATAGCCTTCCTCTCATGTCTTTGCCACCACTATGCCCACTTCGCTCACACTACTCTGCCAGCGCTACACCCCCCATGCATTCTCACCACTCTGCAAGTACAATAGCCTCACTCTCACTACGGTGGATGCTCTACACCCCTCCAACCGCACATGCTACTCTGCCAACAATAGTCTTCCCACTACTGCCGTGCCTGCAAACACCCTCATCCCAATCCCATTCACCCATCCTTGCTCTCAGAACTGCAAGCTCCACTCTTACCACCGCACCTGCATGCTGACTCACCTTAACCACTGTGCCTGACACCCTTTCCCCCCACGACTATGCCTGCAGGGACCCCTACACTTGTCACCATCATACCTGCCACCACTACTGATGCTACTGTCCCATCAACCTCTGTTCTCACACCCAGTGGCGTAACAATCACCATAGCGACCCAGGCGGTTGCTATGGGGCCCCAGGGCACAAGGGGGCCCGGTCAGGACATCCCCCTGATGCCGTGCGGGCCGCCTGGGTCGCTATGGCATTTCAGGCTGCTGGCTGTCACTGGCGGCTGTGAGGAGAAACACGCAGCCATTCACATGTGCAGCGGCACGTACCTCCTCACAGCTGCTGAGTCGATGACAACCAGCAGCTTCGGGGGAAGTGGCTGCGCCAGTCGTCGGCAGCGATGGAAGAGACGGGGCAGGTCTTAGCGATGGGGAAGCAGGCCCGGCGATCAAGGAGGAGGGGCCCAGTGACAGAGGAGGCGGGGCCCGCAAGCGACCGTGGAGGAGAAGGAGGCAGACAGAGGATCGGCCAGACAGGTAAGAGGGCTTGACCACCCACCTGAAACCCTGCAGAGCCCACCATAGAGATTCTATGGTGGGCTCTGCAGGGTCACCCTCAGGTGGGCTGTTTGGGTTATCAGGTGGACTTATCTAGAAATCACAGGGCCCCATACAAGATTTTGCTATGGGGCCCTGTGATTTAATATAAAAAAATATATATATTGAAATGCACTGGCTGGCATGGTTGTGTGTGGTTCATACTGTATGTGTCAGCTAGGTTTCCCACCTACAGATGATGAGAGATGAGAGGGCTCCAGGATTTATGTCTGTTATGGAGAAAACAAACTTGTTCTTTATTAATAGGTTGTGGTACATTCATTGTTTAGGAACATATGCAGCAAACCCAAGAGGCGCAGGCCAGAGTTTATAATTGGTCTGTTAAAATCATAAGCGTTAACCCTGCAGTCTTATTTTTCATGCCCAGTTTAGAGAATACATTTCTAGCAAGGTGGCAGGGCTCCTATGAGATCAGAGTGAAAATTACCTTCAAATATATCCTGCTCACCTAATAAAACTCTGGAAGGATCAGGGGGCTCTCTCAGCAGAAAGTGACCTTAAAGGGTCACCAGCAAAAGGCAAACAATAGGTTAGGATGTCAAAGACCCTGTCTGCTACTTAGATTCAGGAAGTGGGAGCGTTCTTACAGAAAAAGTGAATTTTGGTGTTAGAATTATCTGGCTGAACTAACATTGTTTTCCTTGCCAATAGGTCTGAGCGTCACATCAACGTAAAGTGTGGGTGGAATAAATCCTCCATCCCTAGGTCTACAGTTACCTATCTTACCTGGTAGGCAGGCCTTATAATTGCAAAGGCCTTTTTATATGTGAGCTGACTGGGACTCAAGGGCTCTCTCACGTTCTCAAGAAGGAACTGATATAAGTTTAAAAATAAACTTTGTTATTTCTTGAAAGCGACCCTGCCAGTCACTTGGGGAAAATAAAAGAACTGTTATACTAACAATAAAATAACTGTTATACTAACCTCTCCAGCAGTCCATGTCTCATAGCCTCCTTTTTGGTACTGTAACCTCTGTCAAGCTACATAGTTACATAATATTTGAGGTTGAAAAAAGACATAAGTCCATCAAGTCCAACCTATTGTGTGTGTGTATAGGTCCATGAGTGTTCTCATTCTTAAGAGTACCTGTACCCTTGTACAATACGGTCTCTCCAGCATTCACTAGTTTCAGGTGTTTTAGATGCTGGTGTTCCCTGTCGGGCAATGTGGTTCCATGTTCCGTCCCTCCATACATACTAAAGGACACAACAGTGACATAAGGGTCAGAGGACAGAACCGAGGTGTGATGGGACACACAGTCATCAGACACTCTTCGAAGTATAGAAAGTTGAAGAGTCTGAGGAAGGCTGCAGTGTTGAACTGGAGTGATGTTAGAAGACAAGGGCTTTCAGAAAGTTGAGTATAACAACTCTTCTTTAGCATTAAAGTAGCATTTCCATTATTTTTAAGTGGCTAACAGGACTGCCTAAAGTAAATCATGATGTGGTATCTTCCCAGCAGCAATAAATCCTCAAAGTTCACAACAGAGGTACTGAAGCTGTGAGGGAAATAGTTGGCACTGAGCACTGAGGCAGGAAGAACACTATAGAAAATACTGTTACAGGGTCTAACACATCCCCACTCTACTAGAGATTTCCTGTCACATAGCACATGGTGTGGATTGTTCTATTGGCTGTGGTTTTAACCACTTATGTCTGTGCTGCGATATTAGAGCCAGTGCCACACACTACCAACCTTTGTATAATTGGTAAATATGGATATCGTTGGTCAGCATTATCATACCATTTATAAATGGGTTAAAGGGTAACAGTCCCACAAGTGATCCTTGGGTTATACCACTTTTAATTATTTAGAAGAGAATCATTCATCATTATTCTTTGGATTAATGGTTGCTGCTTGAAAATGCTCTTTATGAAAAAAGTGCATAAATAAAATGGTTTGTTTTAGGGATGTCCCGATACCGATACAAGCATCGGTATCGGGACCGATACAGGGCATTTTGACAAGTATTTGTACTTGTCAAAATGCCCCGATACAAAACGCAGAAGCTTGCGCTATGTTTTTTTTACTTACTGCGCCGAGCGCCGCCTCACTGCTGCTCCGGTGGGTGGCACTCCAGGCAGTCGCCGGCAACCTAAATTAGGACCCCACCTGGAGCGCTGCCCACCGGAGCAGCAGTGACGACATCCTCACGTGTGAGGAAAATCGTGAGGCACCGCAATTGAGGCAACAGTGAGTAAGACGGGGCCTGGGCTTAGTTTTT